ACATTACCAATTCTCATCAATTCTCTGGGTTCATAGGTGCCATACTCCTCATGTGGAGCATTTGGCCACCTCGCTTGGGCCTAGCGCTAGTTTCATGAAGCAACAGGCAAGTGAGAAATCATGCAACATATTAGAACATAAACCCGGAACATGTAATTTGTAATGATGTTTGTTCCATGGTTCCCTGTATCTTTCTGACAATGACAATTCGAGTGGATTGGACTTTCATATCAAGACAGCTCAGCCACATATTCCGAACGCCACCTTTTCTCCGCGCTAAAATCATCCTCTGCAACGGCAGAGTGAGCGGTCCCGTTGGAACACAACTTGCGATCAGATTTCCAGCCATGCTCTTCGTTCGTCCAAACCAGGATGTGCCAGAAATGGAACCATTTCATCACAATCAACTCGGCTCAGCAAACCAGAAGGACATGGGTAGTTGCTTCATCTGATGTATCAATATGTGATTTGCTTTAGACTTTAGACCTTTCAACCCGAAGTGAAAGAGGTAATGATCAGTCTAAGTCAACGATCACCGCTTATAGGTGTGTATCATTTTTTGCACCGCAAAAACCAGCCAATTCATTGGCCCATTCCACAAAAAAAAAACTTAAAATTATAGTCACCCCCAGTCATCTGCGAGGTGCTCCACCCAGAATTTTTTCACATCTGCGGAGGTGGAAAATCTGGCAAGAAGATCGTTGGGCTCGAGTGAAACTGAGGGTAATGTCATTAGCTTCGTTTCTTGCAGTCCCACGAAGAATTTAATACCAGTAAATTAACAGTTCGACCCTGGTAGATAGGGGTTGGAAGATGCTCGTTCCCACTAAAAATTGGTAATTTTCAGGATCTATGTTAATTAAACAGTAATTATCTAGTTTAATTTTGTTACCCTCAGGGAATCAAACATGGCAATGGAAAGTCCACATAGTCTATAAAAGAGGGCGGGTGTTGGTGGGGATGTATTTTTTTTAGAAAATATAGAAAATACTGTGTTTTACAGTGTTTTATGCACTTCATGAGGCTGGGAACGTAGTAAAACAACGTTTTTTTTGTATTTATTGTATTTAATTTCAGACATGAGGTTTGTGCACTAGTTCGACAATACCACTGCTCACACGTGTTTGCATGTCTTTTTCGTTTCACCGCAGTTGGAACCAACTTGAAGCAATAACATTTGTTATAGACTTGGTTCTTGACTGCATAGCTTGCTTTATCATATAAACATTAAACTACATTAGTGATCAAACGCTGTCAGGAGTGCCGGGTGCAGGACCCAACAATTCTGGCGGCGTCATTGGCATCATCAGACCAGTCTCACCAGGCGGGGTTGGGGGAGGCGGCCCCGGTGGTGTTCTTGGTGCGGGGCGCGGAGGGGGAGAGCGACTTCTTTCAGGACGTCGTTCCCACCACACTGGATGATCAGGAGGAGGAAGGATCCAATCCGACCTGCACATGAAGAGACTGCGTTCAAGTTGTTGAGACATGCAACAGACAGACAAGAGTCAAGCCAAAGCAATGAGTGTGAAGGTGAACATGTGATTAAGTTCTCCAAGGCACTCCCAAAAGTCATCCTCAAAAACAAAATCCTCGCAGCTTGACTCATCGTCACATTCCACGACCATTTTCGGCTTGGCCGCCGCCATTGGTTGCGCGAGCTTCGGCGCCATGGCTGCAGGCGTGGGGGATAAGTGCTTGATATTCGGGGAGCTAACATTCAGGTCGTTGAGGGGCAGATCAGTTGCCAACAAAGCTCCTGGAGGCATTGGCCCAACGCAGACATGTGCAGGAAGATCCCTGAGGAAAAGACCCTGAGTGGCTGACACGGCATTCTCCAAGTGGATGTTGTCAGCAGGCACGGACACCAATGTAAAAGTCTCGTAGTCGTGTTTTTTTGGGTTGAGCAGTATTGCTACATGCAAGGAGACACAGAGATGAGACCATGACATGTGACAATGAAAGCATCCAATGCTGCAGAAATTGAAAGAAATCCAAAATATCCCAAACTATACACCTCATGTCTGGACTCTTGTGACACTGTGTCCCATGGGGTCTATAGTTTTGATTTTTTTGTTTTTTTTTGATTTTTTTGGATTTGTTGTATTTTTTTTTTGTGAGTTTTGGTTTTCTCAGGTGTTTTTTTGATTTTATCTATGGAGCCCTCTCCAAAGAGTCGCAAAATATTGTTTTTGTTTACTGTTTTTTTTTGTATTTTCCATGTGTTTTTTTGGATTTCTCTAATTTTACTGACTTGCATATTGAAAAAACGTGCGTTTAGAGTTTGAAGCTATGTGGTGCAATTCACTGTAAATTCCAGTAGTACCGCACAAAGCGGTGGCGGAAGTTTCAAAAATAGGAAACCTATAGGAGAGGTTGGTTGTTCTGAATCAGGGATGGCAGAGCGAAGCCACTGCTGGAGCGAAAGGTGATTGATCTCTCTCACTATTTCTCTCTCTTTCTCTGACTATCTACCTACCTACCCACCTACCTACCTATCTACCTGTGTATCTATCGATCTATCTATCTACCTATCTTTCTATCTATCTATCTAACTATCTATCTATCTACCTATCTGTCTATCTATCTATCTATCTATCTCTCTCTCTCTCTCATATCTGTCTATCTGTCCAGCTGTCTACCTGTCTATCTGTCTATCTGTCTATCTATCTATCTGTCTGTCTGTCTATCTGTCTACCTGTCTATCTGCGGTGCAGTGTCATTCAGTGTAATGTAGTGTAGTGGAATGTAGTGTAGTGTAATGTAGTGTAGTGTAATTTAGTGTAGTGGAGTGTAGTTGTAGTTGTAGTGTAGTTGAGTGTAGTGTAATGTAGTGAAGTGTAGTGGAAGGTAGTGTAGTGTAGTGTAGTGGAGTGTAGTGGAATGTAGTGTAGTGTAGTGCAATGTAGTGTAGTGTAGTGTAATTTCGTGTAGTGGAGTGTAGTTGTGTAGTCGTAGTTGTAGTGTAGTGGAGTGTAGTGTAGTGTAATGTAGTGAAGTGTAGTGGAAGGTAGTGTAGTGTAATGTAGTGTAGTGAAGTGGAGTGGAGTGTAGTGGGGTGTAGTGTAGTGTAATGTAGTGTAGTGTAATTTAGTGTAGCGGAGTGTAGTGGAGTGTAGTTGTGTAGTTGTAGTTGTAGTGTTGTGGAGCGAAGTGTAGTGTAATGTAGTGTTAGTGGAGTGTAGTGTAATTTAATGTAATGTAGTGTAGTGGAGCGTAGTCTAGTGTAATGTAGTGTAGTGAAATTTAATGTAGTGGAGTGTAGTGGAGTGTAGTCTAGTTGTGTAGTTGTAGTTGTAGTGTTGTGGAGTGTAGTGTAGTGTAATGTAGTGTAGTATAGTGGAGTGTGGTGTAATGTAACGTAGTGTAGTGTAGTGAAGCGAAGCGGCCAAGCGACATCTGAACCTCCAAAAGTGGTCCGAACCCCTAGTGCTTTGTACATTTTCACTTCGAAATGTGCTTCGAGCCACAACGGCGTGCACTTTTTCGACATCTGAACCTCCAAAAGTGGTCCGAACCCCTAGTGCTTTGTACATTTTCACTTCGAAATGTGCTTCGTGCCACAAACGGCGTGCACTTTTTCGACATCTGAACCTCCAAAAGTGGCGCGAACATGTAGTGTTTTGTACATTTTCACTTCGAAATGTGCTTCGCGCCACAACGGCGTGCACTTTTTCGACATCTGAACTTCCAAAAGTGGTCCGATCCTGGTGTGTTTTGTACATTTTGACTTGGAAATGTGCTTCACGCCACAACGGCGTGCACTTTTTCGATATCGCAACTTCCAAAAAGTGGTCCGAACCTGGTGTGTTTTGTACATTTTGACTTGTAAATGTGCTTCGCGCCACAACGGCGTGCACTTTTTCGACATCTGAACTTCCAAAAGTGGTCCGAACCCGTTGTGTTTTGTACATTTTCACTTCGAAATCTGCTTCGCGCCACAACGGCGTGCAAATTTTCATCTCTCATCTGGCCAACTGGCTCCGCACCCGCCGCTTTAGCGAGCCTACTTTTCGACCCTCCGGAGCCTCAAATCATTGGAAAAACACAGTGTTTCGCGACTTTCCTACCTTTTCGCGCATCTGCATCTTCTTTCTTCTGACTCTTTCTCTTCTGATCTTCTCTCTTCTAATCTTTCTCTTCTCTCTGCCTCTTCCCTGCTCTGCTTTTCATCTGTCCATATTGTCGGAAGTTTGACTTCTAAACTTCCTTCGAACAGTGTTTTCTATACTTTATACTTGGAAAACAGCATCCCTGTGAGCACCCGTTCTGCTATAAAACCTATAAAACCTCCATTTAGATTTCCCATGGCCACGTTTGACTACCGGAGGGTAGAGGTCATCGACCCTCGATCCATGCCCCGTTGGGGCCGTCCCGAACTGGAATGGTTGAGTCACCAGCGATTTATTGCAATCCACGTGTAATCAGGTAAGGTAGTCAAATCATCTTGCTCAAACGCCTGTGCTTTCAATTTGTATAATGTCTGGCAGTGTGTGTTTGACACTGCTGGAAATCCCTTGGAATCGTTGATGATCGTTTCTTGACATGTGGATTCGTAGTGCCAAAAAATAATGTTATATCATGTAGTAGTCAAAAAATGACAAATAATCATGTCAACCCCGGATTATAAACTATGGGCGTCCCAGAACTCCCAGAACTCCTTCGTCATACATCCCCATTAACTGTTCAGTGTTCAAATCCCTCTATCATTCCATTATACTGGTTGGTTAATAGGGATTCTTCGTTCTTGGATTCTTACAATCCCAAATATATCAAGGGTAGTACAATCCTCTATAATCATCAACCAATCATCATTTATCAATATGGATCAACTATATCAACTATAGTCCTATATGTTTGATAGTTCAATCCCATATAAATGCCATTTAAATCATCAACCAACAGGGGTTCAGCAGCCACTGCTCAATTGGTAAATAAAACATAATAAAACCACTAGTCATTAGCTCACCACAACTCACTTCGCAGGACCACCAGAAACCGCATCATCCGCAGCAATTCCACGGTGCAAAGCATACCCCTGATCCTTCGTGTGCGTCGCGCGCAGCGACGAGTTTCGCGTCCACGTCTTTCCTGGGTGCCAAGGCGGTGTCCGTCCACATTTCTCAGTGATTTTTTGCCCAAATCATCCTAAAATATCCAACATTTGGTGTGCCGCACAATGCTTTATGCTTTAAAACAAATTGCGGAGATGTTCATCACCAACGATAAATGGAACTAACATGTCCACGAATAGAGTTGAAGAACTGAGAAGATTCTGACAAATAATTCACCAACCGGAAAATCACTGAAATAAGCCCATTTGGGGTTCCCCTTATTAGCCATCATTCCAGTGTCATCAAAGTGAGGTCATATTATAATTCAACCAGTTTATTGGCTGACACTGCTAGTATCGTCAACATACTGGGGATAATTATAATAAAAAGCTATAGGGCAATGAAGCCAAAAAACAGGATTATATAACAAAATACGTACAGGATGTTGCAAGCCTTCCTATGCATGACACAAAGGGTGGATAGGTACACTATACATTTTGCTCATTTGCTGGCTCCAAAGGTAGTGCTACCTTGCAGCGAATGCACATTCCGAATTGGAAAAAGTGAAATGTCAGCCCACTGGCTGCCTGTCAAAAATGGAGGGGTGATGTCATGCGTTAAAAGTCCTAGGTTGGTGGTCCGGAAGAATGCTGGGTACACTAAACAGTTGGTAAAAAAAAGCTATACTTTTGAATACTGGCTGGTGGTTTCAACCCCTCTGAAAAATATTAGTCAGTTGGGTTTACTATTCCCAATCTATGTAAAAATAAAAAACGTTCCAAACCACCAATCAGGATCCTATACTTTTGAATAATAACTCAGCATGATTCACCAACCTGATTTTTTTTGCCAATTTGGACCATGGTTGCCACTATGTTCACCATCGTAACCCCCTAACGTAAGGCGCAGCGTTGTCATTGCTATCCATGGCTATTCCATCGGCTTTCCAATGGGGCTACCCCAATAGCTGGATGGTTTATAGTGGAAAATCCTATAATATAAATTAAAATGGATGATAACTGGGGGGTTACCCTCATTTCAGGAAACCTCCATCTATGGATGAAGTATGGTTTTTCCCGCGGCTATTCGTTGGATCTTCCCAAGTAGGAGCCATCCGGCTGCAGCTGCATCCGCGGGTCTCATTGGCCGTTGCAGCCGCAGCTGCAGCCACTGAACCGCCAGTGACCTTTGCTCCATCCGAGGCTGGCAGCCAATGGATCATCTGTTAAGGAGCTCATCGACTGTTAAAACCAATACCCTCTGGTGAACTAACAACCACGGAAAATCACCATTTTTACATAATAGGTAAACCCTCTATGAATGGGCCATGTTCCATGGCTATGTTAAATAACCAGAGGGTATATCATGTCAATGCATTGGAGGTAGAAGGTCCATATTGGACGTGAACACAGAAACATGGATACAAGGAAGTGTCTTCATGCGGCAACGTCTACATGAGTCAAAAAACTGCCTTTCAAGTCTCATTAATAGTCCCATGTCAAAGACAAAGGCCTACCTAAAAAACTGGAGAAGGTGGAAAGTAGACATAAACAAACAAAAACAAACTTCTTCCTCTAGACTAAGTTCAATTTTACTTATACCAAATACTGATGTGTTTGCTTAACACCGTTCCAACCTATTGTGTTGTGAGATGTAGCACGACATACAAGACAAACCATACAAAATGCATACCTTAATATCATACTGCATTTCCAGAAACATCGAAAAATGTGGCCCTGGTGGGGTACCTTTCTGAAAAATTGAGGTTGGAAAAACTGCACGAGCCATCAAGAGCCTCACAAAATATATATAGTCGAGTCATGTCTGCTCCTGGACTCTTTCCACAACACTTCCCCACTTCACAACTCTACAGTTTCACAATTCAAATCCCAAAAAACCGCTCAATTGCTTGACATAATTCGATGATCAAATTCATCTGCCATCATTTTTTCGCAATGTTTCAATCTTTGGCACCAAACTCAGAAGCTCACATAGGCCATGCCATCCTCGTCTCGCGCCGCATTGGACTCCCCGGAGGACACCGTGGATCCAACGTCCACCACGTTCACCACCGGTGGCTCCGCTGGCTCCGGATCCGACTCCTGTCACCACAGGCTGTCAGGGAAGATCACCACACCGGAACATGTTGTTTGTTTAATCAGGAAAAGGATGGAAAGGGATGGAAAGGGGAGATTTTCGCCATTTCAGCCATTTCAGTCATTTCAGCCATTTCAGCCAGGAAATTTGAACAATGTTGAAGATTGATGTTGTTTTAAGGAATGACTCTTGCCACCGAATCTCAGTCTTTGCTGCAGAGATTCACTGACACCACATCTGAGATAGTGTGATACATTGCTGATGGGGATGCCCTCGAAATGGAAGAATGAAACCCAACCGTCCCTGTTTCCAACCGGAAAAAACTCTTCCAAACTGATTCTTTGGGATTCCATCTTGGAAATGTTTGGTGATTTCAACCGCAAGGAGCACCAACCTTGACTTCAGGGCCTTCCATGAACAGCTTGGTGGTTGAAGCCGCCAGCTTGTTTTAATAGTATAATTTTGATAAATTCTAGCTTAATATTTACCGATTGACACCAAGCCTTACCCTTCATGTAGATAAATAATGATAGCTATAAACAAGCACCATATATCTGGGTGAATTATAATATTTCACTAACCTGAAACTTGCGGCCATTTGGGGATGATTATCCCCGTCGGTACAAAAACGTGGGGTACAGTCCTAGAAAAAAATCGGTCTAAAATGATGACCCCTAACCTTTGAGAGAGGTTTTAGAGCTTTAAATTCCTGGCTCCTAACCTCTGAAGCCGAAATCTCACTTCCAACCACTTTTTCGAATTTTCTTTGCTAATTTCCTGGTGCCCAACGTCCAACATCCAATAAATTTACCCCTCTGATATCCAACTAAAAAAATTATTTCCTGGATGCTTGCGTTGGTAACATGCCATATCTTCCCCCCCCTCAATCTGATACGGAAAAAAATGAATTCCTGGCACCTGCAGTTTTTCAGAGTCCACGGCTTCACGAGTGCGGTCCGGCAGATGCCCACGGCAATGCGCAACCCTTTTGCATGGGCAAATGTATCTTCAGGAAAAAACGCCTGTTTTGCAATTTGGCCACACGTTGGAACAAAATTCTTCAATTTGTCCCATCATTTCCTATCTATGGATGGTTGACCTGGTGATGCGATTTTTTTCCTGTGGGGCCAGCCTTTGAAGATCATCCACAAGAATTCGGCCAAAAAAAGGTCCAGCCCCTTGGATTTTATTTTTGACACCTGCGCCTCGGCCTCTTCAAGTCACCTTTTTTTGGTTGGTGAAGCTGAACATATGTGGTTGTACCCTTTTGCAAGGACAAATGCATTTTCAGCAAAAAACATATGTTTTGTAATTTGGGCGCGCGTTGACACAAAATTCTTGAATTCGTCCCATCATGTCCTATCTGTGGATGATTGGCCTGGTGATGCGACTTTTTTCCTGTGGGGCCAACCTTCGAAGATCATCCGCAAGTATTCAGTCAAAAAAGGTCCAGCCCCTTGATTTTTATTTTTGACACGTGCGCCTCGGCCTCTTGAAGTCACCTTTTTTGGTTGGTGAAGCTGAACATATGTGGTTGTACCCCTTTTGCAAGGACAAATGTATTTTCAGAAAAAAAAATGCCTGTTTTGCAATTTGGGCCCGTTGACACAAAATTCTTGAATTCGTCCCATCATGTCCTATCTGTGGATGATTGGCCTGGAGATGCGACTTTCTTCCTGTGGGCCAACCTTTGAAGATTATCCGCAAGTATTCAGTCAAAAAAAGGTCCAGCCCCTTGGATTTTATTTTTGACACCTGCGCTTCGGCCTCTTGAAGTCACTTTTTTGGTTGGTGAAGCTGAACATGTGTGTCTGTACCCTTTTGCAAGGACAACTGTATTTTCAGCAAAAAAACATGTGTTTTGCAATTTGGGCGCGCGTTGACACAAAATTCTTGAATTCGTCCCATCATGTCCTATCAGTGGATGATTGGCCTGGTGATGCGACTTTTTTCCTGTGGGGCCAACCTTTGAAGATCATCCGCAAGTATTCAGTCAAAAAAGGTCCAGCCCCTTGGATTTTATTTTTGACCCCTGCGCCTTGGCCTCTTGAAGTCACTTTTTTGGTTGGTGAAGGTGAACATATGTGTTTGTACCCCTTTTGCAAGGACAAATGTATTTTCAGAAAAAAAAATGCCTGTTTTGCAATTTGGGCCCGTTGACACAAAATTCTTGAATTCGTCCCATCATGTCCTATCTGTGGATGATTGGCCTGGAGATGCGACTTTTTTCCTGTGGGCCAACCTTTGAAGATCATCCGCAAGTATTCAGTCAAAACAGGTCCAGCCCCTTGGATTTTATTTTTGACTCCTGCGCCTTGGCCTCTTGCAGTCACTTTTTTGGTTGGTGAAGGTGAACATATGTGTTTGTACCTTTTGCAAAGTCATGTAAAGAATCATACCCCCTCAATTAATCATTGTACATTTTTTCCTGGGGTTTGACATTTAGATATGTTCTAGTAAACTCCCATTTCATCCATCCACCTTCAAATTCCTGGCTACTAACCTTGGGAATTCTACAAACTTACCCATTATCAGAGTCATTCATGATTGATTTCCTGATGCCTTACATACACAGACTGATGAATCAACCCCCCTCAATCACAACAGACAGAAATTGATTTCCTGTCACTGTACGTCAGGAAGCTTTCAGGAAAAAAAATCTGGGCCTTTTTTGGTATGATATTTTATTCCTGGCCCCATATCATGCCCCTGGACCCTCACCCACTGTCGACTGTCTGCTAGATTTTTGGAAAATAGTGTTTTTTTTAAAGCGTACTGAACCCCCAGGGAAAAAAACTGGTAGCTTAGTACAGAGGAGGATGATGATTTCCCTTATTAACCATGATTCCAGCTATATGGATAGCATGGGACTAACTATATCCGCCTATATCATGAATCCACAGGGGGCGGCCGCGCTCCTGCGGTTCTAGCGCTTCGGACACATGCTGCGACGGAGCATCATGCGCCGGTGGCCCCTGCAGCATTGCAGCACTGTTGGGATCGGTTGAAGTCAAAGGGGAGGTCTGAAATGTGAACCCACCATCCAGATACACAATTTACCTATAAAAAAATATATATATATTATAGAGACGTGCTGGGCCCTTTACCAACTGACGGCCGGCCCAGAATAGTCCTTTCCTAGGTTCGGGCTCAACGGGCCCAACGGGCTCCAACGGGCCCCAACAGGCCCCAACGGGCCTGCTTCACGGGCTCAACGGGCCCGACGGGCCCCACGGGCCCAACGGGCTCGACGGTCTCGAGAGGCCGTGGCGCTGAACGAACCCATCATCCCTTCTGGTGCTGGCGTTACACTTTACGTTCAATTGGGAAGATCAACAACGGTACTGGGAATATAGATTCCCACCCCCGGCTAACTTAATACTCAATGGGGAAAATCAACAAAGGTATTAGGAATTTACAATCACATCTCTGTTCAACTTTACATTCAAGCAGGCAAACCAACAAGGGTAATTATTTGGCATATAAGTTCCCCGCCTCTGAATTTTACATTCAATTGGGAAGATCACCGATAGGTATTTGGAATAAAAGCTCCCTTAGAAACATAATTCACCACCCTGCTTGAACTTTTAGATTCAAGTGGGAAGATCACCACAGGTATTAGGAATATAAAAAATCCCACTCTCGTTTGCTTTTGCTTTCGACTGGAAAGATCAACAAGGGATGATGATGATGATGATGATGACGACGCTTCGTTGCCCATCGTCGTTGCCCTGCCAGGCTAAACCCAGGCACTAGCCGTATTTCAACATATGTAAATATACATAAATGTATGCATCTTGTATCTTTCTAATGCGTATACACACATAAATATTTATTTATTGATTGATTGTTCTATATGTATCTCTTATACCTAATTACATCTGGTTGTAGATGAAAAAATGTATGATCCCAGCACGCCATTGGGATCATGTTTCCAATTTTCGTCGCTTTCCTGCTTCAGTCATCCATGGCTAAATAAAACTAATGCACATGCTTTCTGTTCTTCATTTGGTTACAGATATTATTCCACCAGATGTTGATTAGTTCGGCACCAGCTGTTGACTACCAACCGGTGAAACAAAATCCTTCGGATCCACTCGGGGTATGATTTGTCAAGCGGTGCCGTTTGCAGATTCTGCGATTCTTTCCTAGACAGCGGCCACAAAAAAAATCCCGTGCTTCGCTTCATCCTTGTGTGGCGGCTTTATCTCACATATCCGCGTCAGCGCTGCCGGAACCAGCAAGTGAGCAGTATTCCTATATTACCCTAGATATCGAGGATTATCATTATCCATTTCTAAAAATCAGCCCATGAAAAGGGATTAGCTAAAGCTTTCCAGCCCTGCTCAAATGAATATGGGATGGTATGGGTCAAACATTTTTAGATGTCCGACCCAAATACAACGGCGGCCGCCCACCCGACTTGTCAAACGCTGCACGGCTCTCTACCTTTTCAAAAAAAAAATAGAGACAATTATCCCCGGCAAAAAGGCCCTAACAGCGTTGAGGAAAACATCTGTGAACAAAAACTCCAGGACCTCAAGCCAGGACCTCAATGAGAATTTCACACAGTCGTCAAAGAAGGACCTGATAGAGGGGATCTGACAAGATCTTTGTACAAGAACTTCTTGAAGGCTTCCCTTGCAAACTTTCATACAAGCACCTTCTAGATCTTCGCGCAAATATCTTTTGGAGGATTCCAGCAGGATGTGCGCAAGATCTCCTCACAAACACCTCTACAACCAAGGATTTCACTAGGATATCCACAAGATCCCCTCGCAAGGACTTCTACAAAATCAGGAATCTTCGAGGATCTCGAACCTCATACAGCAGGACTGCCCGACTGCCCCAAATTGTCGTCGGGCCCAACGGGCCCAACCCAGCAGAAGACCATGGCCCAACTGACTTTAAGCGTCAAGATATACCTTTATATATATATATATATACACCATTTCGTGTGCACTTACATTTGGGTTGGTAAATGTTGACAAACAAACTATGCATGGAGTGGGAATGGCGGTTGCATTTTTGTACCAGGTTCTGACTACCTTGGTCTCACAAGTCGTTGAAGTCTGGGTACACCTGCTGATTGCTCTGATTCTGAACACGGTTCCACAACCAGTCATCAATACTGTTATGCCATGAGGCTTCTCAACAAGTCCGATTCTTCGCAAGTTTCCTGATTTTACAGGGTCTTACACAAATTAGACACCGTTTTTTTGTTGGGAGGAATATCATCTATAACATCCTGCAACACCGGTTTTTTCTATCTTTTGAGGACCCCTATATTCTTGAACCCTGATCATCATCAAAGTCGTGAAGCAGGCCATGTCGGGAAGTTGAAACTTCATCACAATTCCAAGTTTTCCTGCCGAAGTGTTAGCCCTTGGCGCTGAGGTATGTTCTGAAATTGACATTGTGGAAGAGAAAAGGAGTTTCCATTCTTTCTTTTGACAAAAAATCAGTTTTCGCGGAGAATCCTTTGAAACTTTGGGATTTACCCCACTTCTGGAATCAATTTTATTGAATTTGTTTCAAACAAAAACTATTCCCTGTAGATTCCCTACCCATTCGGAACCTAAAGCAGCATCTTCGGCAATTCAAGGTTTACTGTTACATCCCATCATACCCGAGTATCTCCCATTATATCTCCAAATATCATAGTTGGTGAATATTTCATTGATTATTGGTCCTGTTGCTTGGTTGATAACTAACATTTGCTAAATCAGATCACCAACAATCAATGGAAGATTAACCAACAATAGTTTCATCAATTAACCAATATGATATTTAGAGAATATCAACGCACCAAAAGGACGAAGCATCAATGGATTCTATATATAGATATATACAGACATACATAGAATATTCAGCAACAATCAATGGAATATATACATATGTTATATACATATTTTATAATATATATATATATATATATTATACATAATATATAATATACATATACAAATATAATAATATATATATACACAGCAATTCATTGGTTGTCCTTCAGCAAGTTCGACATCTCCGAGGCCTCCGGGCGTTCTTCGATGCGGTTGCGGATGGTCTCCTTTTGCGGATGCGCGCGGCTGGGAAAGCGCGAGGCCTAATTTGGGCCTCACAGGGGACAATCCCATGAGTCATGGGGATTTTGGGATCTTTTGGGCCGAACATCGGACTCAATCCCATGAATTCCCATGGTGAAAATCATCTGAATTCATGTGACGATTTTGGAGGAAATACCCATTTCTGGAGGACACCTGGAGGATACCTGGAGGACACCTTTGAAGAAATGCAAACCTTGGAGTCAACTGAAGGGTGAAACATCATGGGTCCCATAAATCATCAACATATGCGAAAAAAAACATCCAGTAGAGGTATGGTGAGTAGAAGACGTGAGCAAGTGGGAATGTGTCAGGTCCCATACATTACTCCACATAATCTGGTTGGTGGTTGACCTACCCCTCTCAAAAATGATGAAGTTCGTCAGTTGGGATGATGACATTCCCAATTCCAAACCACCAACCAGACCCCCATTAAGCCCCATTAATCACCATTAATCCCCATTAATCACCATTAATCACTATTAAATCCCCATTAATCCCTATTAGATCACCATTAAATCACCATTAATGTTTAAAGGTTTCAACATGTGTCAATCATATTCAATGTTTTTGTCATCTTTCCTGGATCCGCAGGAAACATACGGGGTGCTTTATATAAACAGAGGAAGAAACCAGCACAAATTTAAACCTTCAATGGATGGAATCATCCCTAGTTCCTTTATTAATGGTGAACACCTATGTTGAACCTGGGATGGAACTAGCTGTTCACCACTAATAAAAAGCTGGAATGGAACATATGTTGAACATGTTGAACCAACAATTTATCAAATTAAATTTGAAACCACCAACCAGACATCTCGTTGCGGACAACCTGGAATTGTGATGGAGCTGGCCAGGACGACGTAATGGAGCTGTAAGCGGTCCAAAATGGGGCTCATTTGTATAGTAGCATTGAGATTTTAGAGTCACAATACCCTCTGGTAAACTAACATAACTATGGAAAATCACAATTTTTAATGGGTAAATAAACTAGTTCTATGGCCATTTTCAATAGCTTTTTGTTTGTTTACCAGAGGGTAAATTCGCCGCACCAAAAAAAATGCCTCCGCCTCCCAAAATAAAAGATTGATAAGAAACCGGCCAACCCTTTGATCACAACCGCAAAAGCGCGACGCTGGATGACCGCTCCTTCTGAGAGTGTAGCACTAACGACAAGACCTAAATGGCTGGGCGTGGATGGCTGGAAGACATGGCTAGTTCCATGATGTAAAAATCATGCAATTGGTAATTGATGGTAATTGCATCGAGAACATGGAAAAAATGATCATGTTGGCATGATTCACCATGATTCACCATTTCATCCCATTTCTTGGAAATAGGTCTAGGCACCTAGGCACCGTGAACATCTTGATCCATCGATAAAAAAACCCTCAATCTCCATCGCTGCGTTGTGACAGCTGTTCGCTGTTCATTCGCGGCTCGCGGAGCTGACACCAAGAAAATCCGAGTTCTGACATGGAGCTGACACAGGTCTTGTTCATTCTTGTTCCATGTGAAAGTATCATGCACCTTAGACAATAACTACTTAACAATGATTTCGGTCTGTGCAAACCAATTTTCTTAGTATCATCCAAGTATATTGGCTGGTTTACCTGGGTCCAGTTCAGGAGTCATCTCGTTTTCCCCAATTCAAGCAGGTAGTGCAACCCCCATGATGATCTACAATTTGTATGGCTGGCACGATTGACTAAAGAGAACAGCTATTTATTTATAGAACATTGATGGTCATGGTTCTACATACCCATGTAAACTCACATGGTATCTATATTCGAAAGGTAGATTTCACATTCCCGCTCCAGCTCAAAGGTACGTGTCTCCCTCAAAAAAAATGCTTTGCCCTAGATTTAGTATATTATATGGTTGTGATTGCATAGATATATATATATATATGATGAAGCTCAAAGCTACCTTGCTGGCTCACTGCCTCCTTGCTAGCTCAAAGCTCAAAGCTACCTTGCTGGCTCAGTGCCACGTAGCTGGCTCAGTGCCACGTAGCTGGCTCAATGCTACGTAGCTGGCTCAGCGCCTCGTAGCTGGCTCAGAGCCACGTAGCTGGCTCAATTTTTTTAGCGAAAAAAAAAGAAAAAAACTCGCAGAAATTGAGCCGGCTACATGCCCTTGAGCCGGCTTGCCAATGCGTCATGAACTCGGCCAATACATAGTTAGTATTCGTTTTGATGCTCTCACATTCGTCCGCCAGCTCAACGTGACGTAGCTGGCTCAATTTTTTTGGCGTTTTTTTTTTCCCCCGTTGTTTTTTCTTTTTTTGTTGAAAACATTGAGCCAGCTCGATGCCATTGAGCTAGCTCGATGCCCCTGAGCTAGAGCGATGTGTTTGAGCGAGCTCGATGGTGCTGAGCCAGCTCGTTGCAGTTGAGCGAGCTCGCAGAAACTTCCCAATGTGTTAAATTGCCAGGCTCAGTCCCCACTGATTACTTTAGTACTAGATATGGTACCTCTGAAAAAGCCCAAGGTGACTGTCAAAACATACCCCTGATGAAATTGAGCCAGCTACATGTTTTGAGCTAGCTCGAAAAAAATGTAAGATTGTGGATTCCACCATTCAATATATATATATACTTATATACATATAATTATATATGATAAATAATTATATTTATATATATATATACATTATCCTTATCATTATTGTATTATATTATCATATGCACATATCCCATGTATATGTCCAAGATGCCACGTGCAGCAGTAGCTGCGAAGTGAAGGAGATGGCACTCAGCTCCATATCCGAAGGGCAGCGCACGTTGTGAGGTGAGTTGCCTGGGTTGAAATGGTTTTCTGAAACTGTCAATGGATTGGTTTAAGGAAAATTTTACAGGACACCCCGATATTTCATGGGAAAATCGATGGTTTCCGGTTTCGAAAGAATCCCTTAAGCCAATCCATTGAAACTAAAAAACACCATTCCACGTGGTACAACATGGTGTATGTTGATATATGTTGTATGTGTATTCATATCTATACCCAATATCTGTCTTCTTATATATGTGGTCACAATTGAGGCTATCTTTACCATGTATATATAGATAACATCTTAGCATAATGAAATCTATGGGCTATGAATGATTCCAACTATCACCTAAATCCAACAGTTTCCTGCAAATAAATGGTGTTGCAATAGCTATATATGTTCCATTATGTTCCCATGTTCCCGGTTTTGATTGGTTGATTTACTGAGGTCTTCGGTTTTTGTTAAGCAGCTTGTGTCTTGTTTGTTTTCGTTATTCTCCAGTAGCTTATTGTATATATTGGATGCATGATCAGCCAATCCCACAATTATGTGCCTTCAATTTCAACGAAACTCCATAAATATTCCCCGCGACGCCTCGAGAAAAAAAAGGGTGCCCTCCAGGGACTTGAACGTACCCGGTATGTGTTGGTCATGGCTTTCTACCCATTGATACCCCCAGGGCCGGGTTTATCATATATTTTTATCATTACATTAATATATTCCCAGGGTCTACCCCCAGGGTTTATCAATGTTTATCATCATGTTCCCAATTTGCTGAGGGCACGTGGGTCAATGTCAATTTTGTTTAACGGATAAATCCATACATCGCAGTGTCGGTTTACATAAAATATAACATACACTACTGTATCCCATTATATATTACATATATATGTATAATTATATATACACACAAGGTGGTGCCCCCCAGTTATAAATGGTCTATAATCCCATTAACTAGTTTGATATCTCACCTATAAACCATAGTTATTAGACTTATAAACCAACTTAGCTAACTATGGGGCACCACCCTGTACCTATATATAAACCCATCCGCAAAGTGTGGTTAAATCAACATTTTTTGGACCAACCCAATAGGTTCATTTAACCTTCTCTGAAACCCGGTGAAACCAAATATTAAATCATAGTATATCAATTTTGCGAGAACGACTCCCAAATAGGTAGAATGGTTGGACACCTGGAACTATGAGCTAAAGATCATCTATAGCAACCCCAAAACCTAGAACTTGAAAAACATCGAGTCTTAAAGAAGGACAAAATACTGGTTATTCAACATAGCTATGGAAGCCATCGCCCATGTAATCAATGTAGTTCAATGATTTATGATGATATACCTATTCATTTCATAATGATTTTCCATAGCATTCCACATAGCTACATTAAACTGCCAGATGGTAAATTACTGCTAAATCCTCCAGTTACCCTCTGAGTCTTGTAAACTAACACTTGCTATGGAAAATCACAATGTAAAAACATGTAATTCAACATAATTCAACTATCAGTGGGGGACTTTCTGTAGCATGTGTTTACCACAGCCGGGATGTTCGCCCGTTCGCCCAGCCGCTGGGTGTGAAGGTCATGGTACCACGTCGTGCCTCCTCGGGCCCGGCTACGTGGTTTGAATGGCAAGTTCTATGAACTTGCAGCAATTCAGCAACCTGATTTCGGTGAGTTTCAACATTTTTTTGGAAGTTTTAACATTTTTAACGGTATTGTTCTAGGCAAATTCTAGGAAAATTTTTGGGACACCACAATCTGTGCAAAACGAAATAGGTAATTGTTTTTTTGTCATTTTGTAGGCATATCCAATACTTGGTGGTGAAGAAATATATTTCCTGTGGGGTGCTCCGGAAAACAAACTAATCATTCAAACATGGGGGACCAAAGTAAGTAACATACACCACCAGTCCCATCAGTTGGATAGTTTAGTTGGATTGGGTATACCATGGTATACCTTCCCAACCAGGAATATAACAGGGAAAGTTTACTTGATTCATGATTAACCAGTGGATTTACGAGTACCCATGTCCAGACAAACCCAGTTCAATGGTATTAGAGGCCAAATTTCATCAAATTTCTAGGATTCTCCGGAGATAGCTGCGGCTAAAGGTACAACTTGGTCGAGATATCCCAAGATTGGAACAGTAGATTTCCAAAATTTGGTAGATATGGTCATCCCCAAATATTCCGTCAATCCCTGAATTTACAAAAACATGTTCTCCCTGAATCCGGCAAAAATTCAACAACCTCCGACATCTCCAGGTCTTGCAACTAATTTCACGTCTCAAATTGGTAGATATCATATACCAAATCTCTCCACATCTCGTAGGTATCCCGAAAAAAAATAAAACACATCGAAAAAACCAGCGCCAACATATACGGTGAAGGCCTTTAGTCACATCAACTTTTTGGGGGCAGAAAACAAAACCTATCCGGGGAAGTCGATGCGACACCTTCGCATGGTCACATCATGCCAAATTGCTTGGGGGAAGGCTGCATTTTTTTTTCCTAAAAAAAAAAGACGTGTGGTGAAAATCTTATGTTTTCACCGCTGTTAATGTTTAGGAAGGCTTATGATTGGGTTTTGTAGCTACAGACAAAAAAAGCAAAAAACTCAATGTAAGTTTTGAGGACTTGAAATCAACAAAAAACAAAGAATGCCAATCCAAAACAAATCTCACTTGGTGGCTCATCCCACTTCGTAAGTAGTTGTAAGCCTATACATGGATTCACCGTACTTATCCCACTGGATTAACCAGAGATATAACATGATATAACCTACGATTCGTGGCTACTTCGCAACCAAGTATGGTAGCTGCTATGGATTGAACATAGGGATTGCCTGGAGATTGAGTAGGGATATACCTGGCAATCATGGAGATTTCATGGAAAACTCATGAAAGGTCCATCGAAAAGCCGTTGCTGCCTGGCTGGACCGGATCATCTTCGTGGTCATCGGCATGACGGCACGGAAGACACCTGTCTTTCGGGAATGTGATATCTATATCAAACAGTTCAAACAAATGGAAAAATGGGGAGTTACCATAGTTCAGATTCGGATTTTACCTTTCTACCTTTTGGAGGTGGCTATATAGTAGGTTAAGAATTATATAATTCTAACCACTATATGGCATATCTAGGTGCTTTGTTGATCTGCAAATTTCATTTTCTAGTGGGAACTAATATAAGAAGATAAATGGTGGTTTACACACAATCCATCCCAATCCCATCGAACATCATTTAACATCGATCTGTAAGCCCACTCCAGTGATTTTTTCGGGCATGGTCACGGAGTCACGCTCTCCCGGCCTTGAGACACCAAATGGCGACAGCTTTGCAGGAGCTCCTCGATAGGATAGTCCAACGTCCTGACAGGAGACTAACCCGTCAAGGCAGACTTTTTCATGGAAAAAACGCGGGAAAACCATGGTTAGGATTTCAAATCTGGGGCAAAGCGTCTAAAGCCGGGTAGATGGTGGCAAAATACAAGGTGGTGCCCCCACGTTAGTTGGTTTATTATAAACACCATATGTCCGCCACACACCCAATCGCTGACGTAGTGAAATACACCAATTTAGCTATCATAATTCAACTAAAATGTATCATCGTTGAATACAAACCTATCGTTGGATATATAATCACCCATTTTTCTGAAGAACATTTGGATGTGACTGAACATGTGATATACGCTCCAAAAAGGAAATTGTGAGAAATGCTGATAAATCACCAAACTTCCGGGTAGAAGATGGATTTTCATGAAAATAAGTCAGACTTTCATTGGCTTTGGGATATCTTAGGGATCTTCGACTTAAGTTTTCAAAGCCACATCCAAGCCATTCACATCCACATGCTGATAAATTATCAAACTTCCGGATAGAAGTGGGAATTTCATTAATATTTTCATGAATTTAAGGGCATTTCATTGGCTTTGGGAATGCTTGGGGTATCTCCAAGAAGTTTTCAAGTCGCCACATCCACATCCACCAAGCATCTCAGCCAAATCTTCTAAGTTTAAGGCATCAGAGTCCGATTCTTGGCAGCACACGGCCACGTTTTTGACCTCAGTGCGTTTTCGTGCCTGCGTGCGCCTGCGGTGATCAAAATCACACGGTAGTGCTATAAGTGCTATTGGCAAAGTATGTTTTTTTATGGGGATTCCAATCGGAATCGTCATGAATTATACATCAGTTATACGTTTTGTGCATGTTCGCACTTTAGATGTAGGTTGAAGCCCCATCTCTGTGGTGATTTCATCAACATCGAGGTCTAGGGGCGGCAATCGCCCAGTAAGCTGGCTGGTAAGTGGGGAATCACTAACTGAAATATGCTGAAATATAGCCAAGCACAACCCATATACATATATTATGTATATATATATATACTAATATATATATATATACACATAATTATACGTGTATACATATATATATATACACAATAAAATGTCACCAACTGTAAATACGGTTTATATGTGTATGTATGTTATTGTATGGTTATGTCTATTGAAGTATATACAGGTATTGACCAACCAACCCAAATGATAGTTGAAGGGACCACATGAAGCTGGTGATTGGGTGCTAGAGCCAGGGCCCAAGAAAAATGACTCTCCAAACCGAAGAATCCAATATCTTCCTGCTAGTAATGTCAAACACCCCAATTCGATGGTTCCAAATATATCTGGTTGGTGGTTTCAACCCCTCTGAAAAATATTAGTCAATGGGATGATTATTCCCAATATATTATGGAAAATAAAAAATGTTCCAAACCACCCACCAGATATGTGTTTTTTTACCCCAAAACCGCTTGTGTTTTTGAAGGGTTTGTTCCCAGGATGGGACATGGAGGAACTTCGGATCAACCGACATTGAAATGTGGACCATGGTGTGACTGAAACTGGGAGATAGAGCTATCTGAAAATGGGGAAAATGGTCATAAACCAATGGCTTTTGGGAGACTCTAATTTTCATACAAACCCCTTTCTTTGGGATATATGATGATGTTTTCTTTCTGTCCCACTTTCGTGCACCCAAATTCCCCATTCAAAACATGTCCGCGTCATTTTGTTCATCAAGATCTGAGCTGGGCGGTTGAATGTTTCAATTCCAAAACATTTGTGAAATATGATTGTGCATATCATTTTTTACTGCAATGTGTATCATTTATCCCTTTATATATACTATATTAAATTATCGTTTACATGTACATTTATATTACCCTCTGGTAAACAAACATAACTATGGAAAATCACCATTTTCAATGAGAAAATCCACATCCACTATAAATGGTAATTTTCAATAGCTATGTCAGTTTACCAGAGGGTATATTACCAAATCATGACGCAATTAAAATTATAATGCACACCACCATGATTCCCCAAATGTAGAACATCAATTAAATTGGCGAAAACGGTCGGCGTTTGTGAAGATGCAACAAAACTTACCCTTGATGGTTTGCCAACTCGATTTGATGGCGGCAACGTTGAACAATGTTTGTTGCTTAGTTTACGTCCAGAAAATGATTTTTAGATGTTTTTAGCCATGTTTTCCATTGTTTACCCAATGATTTGTTCACCTGCATCTCAATATATCCTGACTTTAATGTTGCTTGTTGATCCAGTATCTCATCGTATCTCCATAGATCCAATAAAATCACAATCTTTATGGCTGGCAAAAACATCCCCACTCATGGTAGGTTTATTACTATTAATGTGGGTAAAACAAGGTAAAACAAGGCCATAAACCATCCCCCAAATCACAAATTTTACAAGTTCTATAAACCATTCCCAGTCATGGGTGGTTTATGACATTGTTTTACCCGATAATCACAATTATATTCCCAATAATCACCAAGAAATCACCATTGTAACCCCAATTAATCATCATTCATAACCGGGACCACTAAACCCCATTAATCACCATTAATCACCGGTTGGTGGTTTCAACCCCTCTGAAAAATATTAGTCAGTTGGGATAAATGATTATGCCCAATATATGGGAAAATAAAACACGTTCCAAACCACCAACCAGCCATCATTGTCTTTGTCACATTCTCATGGATAGATGTCCGACCTGTCGCCCCACAGTCGAAGCGGCTAAATCCTGATACCTTGGAGGCAGTTTTTCGAAGGTCGCCAGGGCCATGCCGATCAAGACCTCTGGGTACTCCTGGCGAACGTTGCGTTTGACCCTGGATTTCCATCGGTGGCTTTATTTTTTTTATAACAGGAAAAACCATGTTATAGAACAGTTATAACATGTGATGTGAACAAGTTTGACCACCAAAATTGTTGCGTATTCTATATCCACGTGGGTTATAAGAGTTATAATCCTGCTGAAAATCACCTGAAAATTCCATTTGTGGTGAACTAACCTCACTTATGAAGCAGCATCCGTGCGTTCTCTCCGATCCCCATGGAAGAAGTGACCATACGTAGCTGGGTTCATCAGGGAATCGATGCTGGAGACTCCAGAGTTGAGGGAAAATGGACTGCTTCCTGCAGAGTCTGAGCTCCGAAATGACAGAAGAATGACATGGGTTACCGCTGGGTTACCCCTGAAAATAGGACAATTTACACACTGAAATCTCCGATGGAAGCCTATTTTGCCAACAAAAAAACTTGAAACATCAGACCTACCCTCCAGTAATCAACCATCGCAATTGATCCCCCATGAGTTTCCCCCGCTATTCGTGGGGATTTTCCATCGCCACGTTTGATTCGCCCGATGGTCCTTCCGCAAGCGAGTGCCCTCGGAAATCTCTAAACGTCCCTGGTGGGTCATGACAGTGACCCCCAAGGATGGAATCCCCTGATGATTTACCCCTGGGTTGCCAAATGGGTAGCAAAAATCATACCGGGGCTTGGAAATTCTGGTACTTTGTGTACCCCTGTGACCCTGATGAATGGTGTGGTGAAAAATATGAAAGTGGAACAGAGTCGAATCGGGCGCAGAGATTTGCAATTGAAGCAAAACTGCAGTCTCAAGCAGTTGACCGAACAAAAATGGGTTTGCTTCGAATTGTATTATACTAGTTTTGGTCGCAAAGAAAATTGTCTTGTAATATTTGGGTGTGTCTGAAAATGGAGTATACCCAAAATTATCTTAATCAGGAAAATGATGATAATCCAAATGGAATTAGGGGTACACTATTTTCAAACAAACCCATTTAGAAAGCCAACGTTTTTTATTTAGCTGACGCTTGTCCTGCAGCAATGGTGATCTGCAACCAGCAAATAGGTCACAGTCGCCGAGGAGAACGACAGAATCATGTTTTTTTTTCCGAAATGGATACCCGTAAACTGCTCAAGAGACATCTTACTGTATCACTAACCTGCAACATATCCCTGACAAGGGGGGAATCATTTGAATGTTTTGAGTTCTTGATCCTGGGTTAAAATGACTAAACTAAACGATGCAAAAAGTTTAGTGTGTAAATAATATGATATAAATATAATGATATAACAATATGTATGTATATATATATAATTATATATATAATTATATAGTTTCACATTCCTGAACAACATATCCTATTTGACAGTATCAACAGTAAATGTTTCCCGTGTTTTTTGGGACACTTGCAGTATCCGTGTAGTTTCCATATGTATGGCTAAACAAGAATCCCCTGAATTGATCTTCAGGATCCCCATGATTTCAGTCTAGTCGTCACGCAATTCGAAGCTCAAAGCTCCGTTGAATCATGACATCCGCCATGTTTCGTGGTTCAACCACTCGTTTTGATGCTTAAATCCCAATTGTTTCATGTTTGAATCCACATGTTTCTCACAAAAGAATCACCATTTTCCTATGGTTTTCCCACCATTTTCCTATATGGCAGTGGGTCAAAACCTTGTACCCCTGGTGAACATAAAAATAGCTGGTAAATGGATGTTCATCCCTCTAAAAATGGTATTAATAGGTATTGATTCATACCCATATGTTTTGTTCTACATCTTCCTGCTCGTAGTCGTCCCAAACAACGGTCTCCGTTAAGGCACCCGCCTCGCTGACGTGCACCGTTCCGCGGTGCCGCAGCTCGGAAACCACCGCGTCCACACCGTAGGGGTTGCCACCAGAACTCTCCTAGGGGCCGCCCCAGATGCATGGATTAATATGGTGGGTACTACATGTTAAAAAACCATAAAATATGTGGATCTGGATGAATATATAGATCAATTGTATGCATTTGTTGTTTGGATTGTAAATATCGTATTTTCGGAGTACAATATTGATGAAATTGCATGGTATAAGAATACAACTCAGGGCAAGGCATGGTTACTCCCTTAGCTTCCCTGATCCATCGCTTCAGAAAAGTCGTCATGATCCAAGATACAACGTATGTCCCAAGCGCAGAGTTTTGCAAGCAGGCTGAACAAAACCATGGCGTTCTCTCCAACGCCTGTAGATTCCCCCATAATTAGGACCTGGAAAATTTATGAAAATTTGATCATACCATGGTGCTCCACCGTCTGAGAAGGTGGACCTGGTGGATAACTTTGGACCCCCCAATCCTGAACTAATCTGTCTTGGAAGGTCGAGTACGAGCAGTAGGGCTAGACCCGGCGGTCCAAACCGATCAGGTCTTCAAACAATTGGCCCATCAGTTTGATCAATAGACAAATTATGTACAGTCATCACCCAAGATACCCTCTGGTAAACTAACATAGCTATTAAAAAATGCCAGAGTTGATTTACCCATTAAAAATAGTGATTTCCGTTATGTTAGTTTACCAGAGGGTAACAGAAAAACAAAAATCATCACCGAACTTGCGAAAGCCTCCCTGTTCACTCTACGGTAGACCTTGACGTTTCACCGTTTGACATAAAATCCAAACCTTGGGACCATCCTTCACAGATACCCTCTGGTAATTCAACGGTTTGCTATTGGAAATGGCCACTTATTTCCTTGATTTACCTATTAATAATTGTGTTTTTTTCCAGTTCGCAAACTGTGAATTTACCAGAAGGTATATCCCAGGAAATCCCATGAAAGATCCCATGGAATTTCCTATGAAGTCACCATAAAAACTCATTAAAGTCACCATATTATAGGCTAAATCGGACGTCCAAGCTTCATAGATGTACTGCAGCAAATCTGGATCCACGCCCTCGACAGCATCCACCATGTGCTGCACGTACATCTCGGTCATGTCCTGGGTAAAGAGCCGACCACTGGAAGGAACATAGAGACCTTGAAGATAATGTATGTATATGAAGATAAATAAAAGATAAAATATTGATAAATTATGTTAGTGTATGTATATGATATTAATGATAGCTGCTTTGTTTATCTATGGAGATAGGTTATATTAGTATGGATATGTATATGTATGCTTACATACGTAGTTCATCTCTATCTCTCTGTATGGTAAATTATATAAACCATCATAAGTCTATAACTGACCAATCGGAAAACATGTCACATGTATATGTTCAGATGTCATCCAAAAGTAGCTCATGTTTGCTCTACGTCATCATTCTACATCATTCTACATCATTCTACATCAGTCTACATCATTCTACATCATTCTACATCATTCTACATCATTCTACATCATTTTACATCATTCTACATCATAATCATCATCATCATCACCACCATCACCATCACCATCACCATTATCATCATCATCATCATCACCATCGCTCATCACTATGTTCATTATTCCTATTCTAGTTGTACTACTACTATTACCAGTATCAAAGCCCCAGCGTTCCCCTCCAGAAAAAAAAACAGGCCCATACATGATTTATGCATAAACAAATGGCTGTATGGTCAAAAATATATACTGTATATATATATATTTGTACTACTACTATTACCAGTATCAAAGCCCCAGTGTTCCCCTCCAGAAAAAAAACAGGCCCATACATGATTTATGCATAAACAAATGGCTGTATGGTCAAAAATATATACTGTATATATATATGTATATATATATGTATATACGTGTATACATGTATATATATATATGAGAATACGCTACTACTTATAAGAATAATCATCATCATACATTACATGTTCGCTGCAGCAAACAAAAACGACATCCACTAACCGACGCTCTGAGTTTGACACCAGCGACAGGTTGTTGACGCCGACTTCACCCATGAGATGCCGCGCCCTGGGCAACAAGGCCTGCCGGCATCGATTTCTTGGGAGATACAAATCCTTTCAGAAACTGTCCACCAAAAAAAGTTCTATCTATCTACCATCTGGTTATTTAACATAGCCATGAAAAATGACCCATTTATAGATGGTTTACCTATTAAAAATGGGGATTTTCCATGGCTATGTTAAATAACCAGAGGGTATTTCATTCTATTGCTATACCTCCAGCCGGGAAGTGCGTCAAATCACCAGCCAACTATCACAGGGAAGGCTCCCTGGCACCAGGCCTGGTAGAAAAAGCGATGTGGGCTGCTTAAACAATGCGGATTTACGGAGATTTATGGGGATTTATTGGGACTTATGCTGATTTATTGGGGCTTGTAGGTATATATATATATAATATGTACAATAGGTTATCATGGGACTTGCCTTCTCGAATTTAATTAATATAGCTATAGAATATCAATGTTTTTGAAACAGGTAAAGCATCTAGAAATGGGCCATGGCTTCCGTAGCTATATTACATCACTAAGGGGAATATGTGCGCATTTCCTGAGTTTCATTCGCCATCATGTCTTCATGTTTCCCGAAATGAACTGTTGGTGTTGTGTCTGTTTATCTTTCCAGTATATCCTTTTAAAAACAAGTATAAGTACAGTAAAAGCATAATCATATATGCGGGTTGACATAAATGGTGGTACCTCAAGAGCTGGATGGTTTATAAATGGATGATTTAGGGTACCCGCATGACTTAGGAAACCTCCATCTCTTTATTGTTGCTTTTATCCCCACCATCAATGAGAAATACCCACTGGTAACTAACATAGCGAACTGGAAAATCACTAATTGATTCATAGGTAAATCAACGAACTAAATGGGCCACGTTCCCATTTTCTACAGCTTTTTGTTCGTTTACCAGAGGGTATTGCCTCATGATTTCTCCCATGACTTTGAAAACCCTTGGCCTTGGAGGGAACGCCAGCGTCCCGCGCCACCACGCAGAAGATCAGCGGTTTGCAGTTGCCGCGATTTTCACAGAGCTCCATGATGCCTTCCACCTACCCGTTGCCGCCGGTGTCATCGAAAGGGGCGAGCTGGGATATCCCCGAAGTAAACAAGGGGAGATGGGGAATCCACTAGAAATGGATGTTTCAATGGGAAAATCATCTATTAATGGGGAATGTTCAACATGCCATAATATATATATATATATATATGTATATATTATATCCTCCGATATCCTCCTATAGACCAACATGTGTAAAACCCACCAGATATGTAGACAATTTTTGCGAACGGGAAACCATGGGTTTTCCCACATCTATATCTTAGTTTACCCTAGGGTAGTGCTTAAATGTGCTTACTGTCTTTTGTTCAATGGTTAGCCGACTTATAAGCCAACTTCTATAGCTAATGGATGCTACAAAGTGGTGCCCGCGAGTTGTATTTGTTGATGTACAAATAAATATAATGTATGCCAGAAATCCAGTACCTGTAATGTGCATTTTACGAGGATATCTAGAAAAGACACTGCAGATTTGGATGGCTCAAGATGGTTCGGATGGGGTGAACCGCCTGGACATAATTGACATAATGGGGGCAAAATGAGGGTAAATCAATACATCCCCACTTATGGCAAGAAATCGAAGTACCAAATAACGGATTCAAGGTCTACCAATGTGTTCGTCATTTCATGGGGGATGTAACAAAAAAGCAGTCAGTGCCACTTCACGAGTCATGCAGGACAGTATGGGCTTTTGCGATCGCCGAGTGGTGATTATGATGAGGATGATGATGATGATGATTATTATTAACATTATTATTATTATCATCATCATCATTACTAGGTTATTGTTGATGATGATGAGGATGAAAAACAATAACTGACAGTGCATCACCAACTCGTCTTCCTGGCCCTGCAAAAAGGATCCGCTGTGTCACAGTATCTTTCAGAAAATGTTCAAAGTCTTCTTACACCCCTGTTAATAGCACTACGATAAAATTTGTGAGGGGTCAGAACCTTTTTCTTTCAGAGAAAAAAAGGATCCGGGAAGGAAACCTAACTTGCCCCACAAGCCTGGTGAGGCCAGAACCTGTTTTGCCTCACCCAAAAAGGATCCGGAGTTGGGAAGATCAACTTTCTGGTGGCTTCATACACAACTTTGAGCCCGCAAGAGCTCCACATCCTTTTTTAGTGGGGGAAAAGGGTTTCTCTGTTCAAACCCCGGAAATAAATTGACTTTTATATCATTGGAAAAAAGGATTCACTCAGAACGCGCGTTCTGGAACGCGAGTTTTTAAAACGCGCGTTCTGAACGCCCAAACGTACCGAACGAACATGCTAAGATCCATATATATATATATATAGATAGAGATCCATTTAATATATCCATAATTCATCCATAATATATCCAGAATTCAACCCCATCTCACCTTTCCATCACTTTCGCTCGGGCTCATCGGATTGTCCAAAGAAGGACGTGGAACGGCGCAGGTGGAGCCTCCAGCGACGTGCTGTGGGGGATGTTTTTCTGGATTTGTCCACTGAAAAACCCATGAAATCCTCATTTCTTTTGGGGTGAATTTAAATCATAGGGATTTTTGGGTTAATCTGGTGAATCCTCATTCATGTGATAAAATCCATTTGTTTTTTGTAATCTCCAAAAAGATCATAGGATAAACATCGTAACACGTATGTGGAAAACCCAAGAGTTTTCCTAGGAACATGGTCTAGAAAATGGAAGGTACTCCACATCTATGTTAAATTGCAAACACTTTGGTGAATCGATGCGTCTTGAGTCTTGGGGGATGCCCGCTGGACATATTACTGATGTGGCCCAGAAGATTGAAAATCACTAGGAAAATGACCAGAAATGGTGATGTGCCGAAATTGGTCGCCCGTCTGCATGGTTTGCTGACGTTTATTGAAGAAAGCAGGGCGATAGTAGATGACACTAGACTCTTATAGATCTTATGGTAACCCAAACAAAAGTGTAGATTATGCTGACTAAAATGCAAACAAGGCTCTCGATTCCTGAAAAACATACAATCGTATCAATCAAACTTGAAAGTGGGCTCATGTCTTTTAATCCATTATGGGACTTTAAAAAAACATGAAGCCAATAGAACTAGCTGTGACTTTTATGTCTTGGAACCAACAGAGATCAAGGTCTGTCCAAAGAGGGACCATTGTATATATTAACATATTTTTCAAATACACCTGAGTTTGTCTTAAGAGTTCAGGTACTCATGCGCAATGTGTTGCAACAAACACCTTGCGCCCAAAGGGGGTCTCGTGCATACCATGGTGGGACGTGCGAGCTCATGGATCCTGATAATAAATCCCAGTAGATTGGGTAGAAGTCGAGTCGAACCATTTTGCTCATGGGCTAACAAACATAGCTACCATTTATAGTGGATTTTCCCATGAAAAATGGTGATTTTCCATAGCAAAATGTTAGTTTAAACAGAGGGTACATCCCCAAATGTCTGATGGTTGAACGGTTGAACCAGGATTTTTGTGATGGTGAAATCTCCATGAAAGAAACTCATCACCCGCGGTTTTTGAAACATATACCCATTTTCTTTTCCTTATGAATATCCCCATTGCCTGGTCTGATTTTTTCATGATTCATGTTCTCTTCAAGCCCGCACCGCAGCCAGCTGAAGCCCAAGGTACCACATGACCATATGCTAAAACTCATACAAGACCTATGCACCATTGGACCAAAGAAGTACCAGTCCAGTGAGAACCATAACCCCAACAGCGAGGAGCAAGATCACCGTGCCCTCACTCTTTGTGGAGTATCTCGAGAAGGCATCGATGAGCATCTTGCACAGCGTAACCACCTTGGTCCCCGGTCTCAGCAGACCAAAAAAGGCTGATGTGTCTCCAGATCATGCAGGATGGGGCCCCCGTTCGATAGCGTTCAGTTGCCTAAAAAAAGTGGCTGAATTCTATATGGTTTATGGTAGATGTAACGAACGAGGTTTATAAACCAACATTCACATCACAGGGGGGCTCCTGAGAAAATCCCAACGAATATTTCAAGAGTGCTAGTACCTCCTGCATCCGAATGCAATTTCACTACTTAGTGCTTCGAAGAACCCGAAAAATATGAAAGTCGGGATCGGTATCGCATTTGGATTGAGAATCTCTACGCTAATCAAATCATTTGAACAACGGATAGATGTTGAAACCACCAGCCAATACCAGCCAATACCAGTCAGTTCACAATTTCACCCTTCAATATCAAGTGCTATCCCCATATTTGTTGGTGATTTCGCCCAGATTTGCTGGTAACATGCCGCTTTCTGTTTGTTCAACAAACTGCTGCAGCTGAAATCGCAATCTGGTTGGTGGTTGACCTACCCCTCTGAAAAATATGAAAGTCAGTTGGGATGATTATTCCCAATATACGGAAAAATAAAAAATGTTCCAAACCACCAACCAGGTTTAATAGGGTTTAATAGGGTTTAATAGGATTTAATTCACCATTTCTTGCAGCTCAAACCACCAATTCTTGCAGCTCAACTTCACCATTCCACTCCGATGAATTGGTGCACGACTTGGTCCGAGGCACCCTGGAGGGTCGCGTCAATGCATGGAGAACGTCCCGTTCCACCATCGAGTTGGCCACCTGGAGTCGTCGTTTTGCCCCCTTTTGTTCGTTTGTTAAGTTGCTTTATGAAGCCAATAGCCGGGGTTGATGGATGTTTATGGGTATATCTATACAATGTGAGGCCCCCAAGATATATAGCTAAGTTGGTTTTGAACTCCAATAACTATGGTTTATGGTACTTATAACTATAGTTACTGGGGCTTATAAACCAACTTATAACTGGGGGGCCTCACATTGTAGTATATACTGTTCTATAGCGTTACTATGGTTGAGAAAGCAGCGTACAACGGGTGTAGCACCTTGTAAGATTTTTCATCTCCGATTACCATGGCAAATATGGATCCATATCTTGCTTTAACAATGGTGAAATATGTGTAAATTAACCTTCTCTGTCAGACTTTCAATATTGAAGAGTTGGGTTGACAAGGATTTATGCGACTCTGCAGTAAATCAACTGAGACCACAAAATGCAGATATTTTCACTTTAGGCACTTAATGAAGATATTAGTAGTTATATGAACTTATCATAGAAGTGATTTTTCCTTATTTTCACTAATTTTCACTTATTTGGCTTATTTTTTTAAGATTTTCAATGAGAAATTTTGATTATAGACGATTCCATTTTGTTAGATATGTTTTTTGTTTCCAATACATTTTTTTCATGATGATTATTGTTCTTTTGAGGGTTTATCCTGTTCAGGAGTTATCCTTTTCAGGAATTATCCTTTTCAGGAACTACTCTATTCAGAATGAATCCTTTTCAGGAGTTATCCTTTTCAGGAATTATTCTTTTCAGGAACTACTTTCTTCAGAATGATTCCTTTTCAGGAAGGATCCTTATCAGGAACTTTCCTTTTCAGGAACGACCCCTTTCGGAATTTTCCTTTTGGGGAATAATCCTTTTCAGGATCTATTTTTTTTAGGAAACATGATTCTATGATTACCTTTTGCTGGTTTGCTGTATATTTAGTTTCGATAAGGGTCAAGTTGTTGAGAATCAACTTCTTGGCTTTCTTCATATTTTTCAAACTTCTTGTGATGAAAAATATTAGATGAACATAATTCAAACTCTGCAAAAAAAAGCTAAAGGAATCAAATATTATAAAAATAGTAAAACCACGTGATTTTTTTTTAAATCAGAAATTACATAAAATTCAGAAAACTTAGAAAAGTTAGAAAATTCGAAAAATTCAGAAAATGCAGCAAAGTCTGAAAATTCAAAAAAATTAAAAAAATCCAAAATTCGAAAAAATTAGAAAATTTTAGCCCCCCCAGAAAATTCAGAAAATTCTGGCTCCCCCAGAAAATTCAGAAAATTCTGGCTCCCCCAGAAAATTCAGAAAATTCAAAAAAATCTGTCCCCACCAGAAAATTGAGACAATTTAAAAAATTATGACAATTCAGAAAATTCAGAAAATTTTAAAAATTCTGCCCCCCCCAGAAAATTCAAAAAATTCAGAAAATTGGCACCCCCCAGAAAATTCAGAAAATTGGGCACCCCAGAAATTCAGAAATTGAAAGAAAATTCAGAAAATTGGCACCCCCCAGAAAATTCAGAAAAATGCCACCACCAGAAAATTAGCTTTTTTTTGTATCCATCATATATCAAAATCAGATATTAAAATTAAATAATTCAGAAAATTCAGAAATGAGCCACCCCCAGAAAAGTCAGAAAATTGCCACCCCCCAGGAAAATTCAGAAAATTGGCCCCCCCCCAGAAATTCAGAAAATTGGCACCCCCCCAGAAAATTCAGAAAATTGGGCCCTTCAGAAAATTCAGAAAATTTTGCCCCCCCCAGAAAATTTAGAAAATTCAGAAATTTGGCCTCCGTCCAGAAAATTCAGAAAATTTCGAAATTTGCCATCTCCCTTAGAAAATTCAGAAAATTCATAAAATATTGGCCCACCTCAGAAAACTCAGAAAATTCAGAAAATTCTCGCATCCCCAGAAAATTCAGAAAATTCAGAAAATTTCGAAAATTCAGAAAATTCGGGAAACTCAGAAAATCCAGACATTTCAGAAAATGTAGAAAAGTTAAAAAAAAATCAGAAATTTCAGAAAATTCAGGAAAATCAGAGACATCAGAAATATACATGGAAATATATATAAATGTATATGAAAACAGAAATAAATTGTTTAAAAATAACAAAAATTAGAAAAGAAAGAATTTTTTTTTTTAAAAAAAATATATGTATTCAAATGTTTATAATTTCTAGAATGCCAACTAAGTAGAAAATCCAAACCGAAAAGGAAAACACAATAATAAACCATTCTTAAAAATTGGAAAATTGAGCAAGTATGAAGCAACAGCCAGCAAATGTGTTATGTTTGCAATGTAGCTACAAATATTCAAAAAAAGGACAAAATATAAGAAATTGCAGCATATTAAATGACATGACTTTGTGAAATGATAAATGTACATGTCTAAAAAAAATATATATATATATATTAAAAAGGAAAGAACATGTAAGCATATGGCAATGTCTCAAACTGAGGTATCCGTTTTTCCCCTTCAAGGAGCTATTTTGGAACCAAAAACGGACACTTCATCTTGAAACATATCCATATGGAGAAAGAAATAGCAGTTATAAATTAGAGATGATTTCACAACACCTCGAGGAATTAGTATTCAACTAAAGGATCGCTGCATTTACTTTCCAAATCAAATTTTGCTTCTTATCATTTCTTTTCGCTTATTTACGCTTATTTTTGACTAATATTCTACTATATTTGCTTATATCTTCCTTATTATGTTATAAGTTCACCTAAAAATTTAGTGGAACTTATAACAAAAATATTTTTGAAAAAACAATTTGAGCAAGATATTAGAAGGATAATAGAAACTTATAGTATACTTATAACTTCATTAAGTGCCTAAAGTGCATATATCTGCATTTTGTGGTCTCAGAAGGAATGATTTTTTCTTTCGCAAGACTGAAAGATTGAGCCGGACAAGCCAAATGGTGGGATCAAACCAGAAGTCAGACTTCGTTTGTTTCAAACGTAGCTTTAAAACATGAAAAACACTGGACCAAAAATCACGGGAATAACCAATGAGAACAAGAGGAAGAAACCTCCGAAAACTGCGTCAGCGGGGTTGCCGAAAATTTAGGGGGAAAATGCCGGGGCACAAGAACGGAACTCCCGTTTTTTGTGCAAGCCTGCGCGATCGAAATGCACATGAGCATGTCACACGAATGATTTTATGCGAAATTTTACACAGAAAAACCGGGGCCCAAGATCGTGAAAACCCCGCGGCGCAGACTCTGTGCGAGCCTGCTCAGTCGAAATGCACATCGACACTTTCCAAATAGTTGTCCAAATAGTTTTCCATATTGAACATTATTATAGTTTTCCACATACTTGTCCATATTTAAAACAACGTTTTGGACACTTGCACCATCTTCTTTCATCACCCAGCTTGGACCCATTCCCCCAGCGCGCGTTAGGTCCGAAGTAGAGGCCCGGAATGATGAGCCGCAGCACTGGCAACCAAGCCTTGATGGGAGGCAGTGAAAATCGCTAAGGGTGGCATCATCTGATCAGTTTGAAACACCCTGAAAAAGGGTGTTAAGTTTTAAGTGATATTACTCTTGAGTTTTTGATAGTTTTCTTTGACACTTTCAGCAGCATCATGTATGTGTGTATGTTTCATAGAAGTCATGTTGATATGATCATATGGCAGTCACTGGCCTAAAAACCCAAGAACGTGTTTACAACTAAATCGTGTACTCATCTCATCTTCCGACTAGCCATTTCAAAAAGACCAAAGACCCTTATTGAAGACTGAAGGCCCAACTTTGGTCAAGGTTTGGTAGGAATCGAACTTTATGGGTAAGTTTGGGCACCTATGTTGTGTTTTTTCTATCCCAATCACTGGGGGTAAGACCCCCCCCTTTCATGCGACCGCACCCCCTAAATTATCCATGTTATTTTCGGATTTTCCCTTATTTATAATCCATAAACCCATGAAAAACCACCAGGAATGGGCCAAAACCTCCCCAATTTATCGCGAGTTACCATCACCTCACGCGTGGCACCCGCCGAGCTCAGCAGCCGTCGCAGGATTTCACGGTCGTTGGCCTTAAAAAAGGAATGGTGGTGCCCCGAGTTCGCCTATGCAATGGTTTAGGCATATGGTTATGGTAAAATATGGCAAAATATTGTGTAACATATAGGATAAAATATTGTAAAATGTGGCAATATCGGAAAATATGGCAACGTATGGTATATTTAAACCATTATAATTATATTGTGATGAAAAAACACCAGTTTGTACATATCTGTTGTTCACCATCCATCTATTTTTTGGTCAATGTGCCGAAAAAGGACCTTGAAGAAGGTGCATCATGGGTTTTGGGCATGTTTGTTTGTTATTTTTTTGCGATTACCGATATATCTGCACACGGATCTGGGTTAAAAAATCGGCTATATGTTTTCCCCTTCCGAACCAGTGAGGTTGCAGTGAAGTCACTGCAATTTACCCAGATGGATACGTAGATGAATTATCAATGTGGTTTCAGGAACTCCTCATGATTGGGTGATTTTGGGATTTGCGTAAAGGCAACATGTTACATGACGAGGTGTTTTTTCACTTACGTGAATGGATGATTGAACCAACTCATATTCTCACTCAAGGGGCATGGGCAAACATAGCGATCTCTCCACTTTTTTTACCAAATAAAAAAAGTGATCCACAGATGGTGTCATTGGGGATGGGCCAATGTCCGGTTGTCCCATGGTCATTTGCATTGGTTCACAAAACGGTTTTGGTTCCCTTACAATTCCCAGGACATCCAGGGACGGATATGCTCATGGCCTAAGAAAGCAACATCAAATTGACAGCCCATCCCCGTGGTTGTACCTATACCCTTGCTAGAAACTGGACAACCAACCAAATAATGTAAGGAACAATCATTAATTTGTTTCCAATAAAACTGTATGTAGTTATATTTATATATAAACATTTTTTGATATATACGCAAAAAATACATCTGATTAAATGTATACTTTTATGTGCGTATTAAAAAATGAGATATGTGTGAATATCTAACACACAGATATATATATATATATATAGATATTGATATAAATGTAAATAAGTATATATATATATATGTGTGTGTGTGTATGCGTACATGTAAATACATGGGTATATGGGTCTCTGGACCCCATCAACTTAGGAATGTTCTGACTCCACTGCAATCCATCTAAGTTGCTCCCTCTCGTGGATTCCAGAACCTGGGGACTTTGGGCGATGAATCACAGCTAGTGATGCAAATTCTGCCAGCCTGGCTGAAAAAATCACACCTTGACCATGGTTTTGGTACTTTGATTTATTTGGGTTTGATTTTGTTATCCCAGTGATTCAAGTTCTGCTTAATAGAATAGGAGGATGCTGCGCAGCAAAATTTGAACCATAATAGGGTACGCTCACATCCCATCAAAAAAAGAAATGGCTGAGCGGTTGAACACCCAACTAGAATGCCACTAATACATGAATGGGGTGTACCTTTCCTGGATCTTCGCTATTCTTCACTATCGTGGAATTGTTACAAGGGGCCAAACCAAGTCTACAGTTACAGGTCAGAAATCACCAGCTGGTTGTTTCCACACGCGTTGCTACAATGCTTATAAACACAATGCTACAAATTACAGTGCTACAATGCTAAATGGGAACGGGATTGGACTTGCATGTCTGACCTTGGCCACAGCAAGGTCCTAATAAGGCACATTTTTAGATGACGTTCGAAACCCACCCACATCATCCCATCCCCCTGATACACCCGATACCTCTCTAGACATTATATGTGTGTGGTTTAGTGTTGGCTGCCTATTTTTTAGGAAGTGAACAATGTGAACAAAGTCTTGCTGACTACATCCCTGTTCTGACTGGACAGACACATCTCCTCCCGTGCTTTTGCCGGCGACAACACGGATTCTATACAGTTGCTGCGCACTATAGCAGCGTTTCCGCAGCCATTTCACCACCATATGTGTGGCTATGGCGGCCGCATCTGCGTGTGGCTGGCATGGCACAGTCTGACAGGACAAATGCCGAGCCATTCCGGGATCTGTACAAGACTGTACAGCACGCGCTAGCTACTTTCATGCAGGTCTGCTCTGCTCCAACTACAATCTCACTATCCTTCGAAGTGATCCATGTCACTGAAGCTTGGCCCCGCTGATGGTATGGGCCTGAGTTTCTCGGCTCGCTGCTGCATCCCGTTCGTCATAACAGCGGGGCTCGGGAGCAGGCACTGGTTGTTCGTGTCTGAGAACCTGCATTCCAAATGAGTTGGTCAACAGAGGTTGCTCCCCAAAAAAAACTCTTATCAGTGGGTTTATTTTTGGTGGATTAAGCACCCAATGGAAAACATATTTTGTAAAAATGACTGCAAATCCAAGAAACTTCAAGAAACCAGTCATGGACTGGTTCTTGGTCTGGCCTGGAACACGCTCCTTCATTGTGGGCAAAGCCATTCCGGGAAGTGCACAAGACTGTACAGCACGCGCTAGCTACTCTCCGCTTGCTTCCCAAGCAAGGTCCCCAAGCCTTCTCCACTTACACTGTCATTGTCTTTGGACTTGATCTCTTTCAATAGACCTGCTCATGGCGCTTGGCAAGCGCCTGCATCTTGATTGCCTCAAATTGCGCAGCCATGCCCTTGAAGTGAATTCCGAGAACCTGCATTGCAAATCCTTGGCTTTGTCCAAGTAAGATTGCCCCGGAAAAAACGAGGTGCTAGTTTGTTCCAAGTTTGGTGGAGCAAGCGCCCGATGGGGAAAATGTTCACCGCAAGTCCAAGACTCCATTCACAGTCTTGCGGAAGGTGCTCCAGTGCCCATCCATTCGAGCAACTCGACTCCTGACATGTGGGAACTTCACGCCGAAATCTTGTCTTGCTGCTGTGTGGCCCCTGCCCTTTAGGCAAAGGGTGTCTACATTGGCCGCACATTGGCTGGCACACTGCGGGTGGCCGAGTCATTCTAGACGGTGCTGAGACCTTTCACCTTAGAAATTCTCACTTCAGGCGCTTATCTGGTTTCAGGGAAATTAGATAAACTTAATGTAACTTACGCTTTGGACTGCTTGAACAGACTTGACTTAATTCATCTGATTTGTGTTTTGCAAAGTTCGCAAATAGCATGAAACATGTTCTGCAACCATACCAAAAATAATATTGTAAGTTTCCATTCTACGAGATAAGAAAGTGACAACGTTTTGCCCAGGTGTGTTTTGGTGGTGTTTGGCTTGCTTCAACAGTCAAAATGGAATATGTAGGCTTGTTGGCAAGCGGTACACCAAGCAAAAACACTATTTGCATTCATGTGTTCCTTGCTGTGCGACCTGAACAGCACACACATACAAAGTTACACATGTGCACGTCCGACTTTCTAGCTGGAAACAGCTTGCCTGTTCTGCATCAAGCATGAAACAAAAAAATCACATGGTATTTGCAAAACATGTCTTTATACATTGCATTTTATGCCAAGCCTTTTTCTTCATCTATTGCATGCTGAAACAATGCAACGGCAGAAGTCCAATGTTTTCTAGTGTGTGTTTTTTGCTGCGTTCGATTTACAGAAAGTTTTTTCTTCAACTTGGTATAAATAAAGAAAAGCCAAAATTGATGTGTTTGATTTCCTTTTTTAATTCTCTGAATTCCCGAGCTTTTCGAAATGTTCTATAAACATGGTTTTTATTGCCATTTGAAGTCTTCTTGAGCAAAAAGAGGAAAGCAATGCTGAAGGCTTTCAACCGTTGTCAACAAGTTTCCTACCGAGACCTTTTTCGATCCTGAAAGACGTATTTCAAGACAGTTGTTGCAGGTAGGTTTTTCCAGCCAAGGACAGCCGTGTTGTTTTCTGAGACTGACTGTTAATATCTAAATTTCTGATTTCTCCCTTTTGTTTTTGCATTTAAAGTTGTTTACATTAATTTCTCGAAATTCTGTGTGTTCCCGCTGATTTTTTGAATTATATATGGTTACTTTCTTGCTGCCACATCAATGTCTAGGATCATACCTGTTCAGGGAAACTGTTTCCTGCTTGAACTCACCTTTTTTGCCACACCAAGAATTAGTCACAGTGATAAAACTTTGGAAGAGCAGTTTGCTGTACCCACCAGATGTCCCATGAAATGTTGTTATTGTAATTGGTGCAGTGCAAGGGCGTAATCCTGCAAAAATAGATGCTTGGTTCAAACATTTGACATTTGTAAACAGAAATTGTTGCGAAACAATGGTGGTGAAACAGCATCTTGCTGAAACCAAATGTCAATTTAATAGATCTAGAATCTAGAATAGGTCCCAGTGAAGCCGTTGTGGTGAGATAGCGCTCTTCTTGAACCAATTACCTTCAATGAACCAAACATGGGTCCAATTGACCGTATATAATGTAGTAAAAGTCAGAAAATAGTCAAAGTGACTCTCTTGCAGTGAAGCGATTTCCTGCTGGAACTAAACATCTTTTTCCCCAAACAGTGTGTCCACACTGAGGGGTTCTTACGGTAGGTGTAAAGGCCGGTGCTTGATCAGGGTGCTCCAGCTGGCTTGCGGCATTTTACTTGTAAATTTCTGCATAAAGTGGCTCTTGTGAAATCACCACGTGCATTTCGACTGCGCAGGCTCGCACAAAGTGCGTGTCCCGGTTTTGGCCGGCAGCATTTTACCTGTAAATTTCCGTACAAATTCGCTCTGCATTTCGACTGTGCAGGCTCGCACAAAATGGGGTCCCCGCTCTTGGCCTGCGGCATTTTTCCTGTCAATTTCCGCATTCAGTGGCTCTTGTACACTGTCCAATTGCATTTCAGCTGCGCAGGCTCGCAGAAAGTGTGGTCCCGGTCTTGGGATTGGTCCTCGTACTCAACATCATCATCTTCCTCCCCCTTGACCTCATCATCCTCAACATCATCAACATCCACCTCATCTTCCGTAACATCAGCTTTATCATCCTTTTCATCATCATCCTCAACAAAATCATGCTCAGCATCATCACCGTCGCCCTTCTCAACATCATCATCCTCGACCTTATCATCCTCCACTTCATCTTCCGTATCATCATCCTCATGTTCATCCTCCTTAACATCATCTTGCTCAACATCATCATCATCCACATCATTAACCTCCACTTTGTCACCCTCCACATCATCCTCCTGCACCTCATCATCCTCAACATCATCATCCTCAACATCATCGTCCGCAACATTGTCCTCCTCATCCTCATCCGCATCCTCAACACCATCATCATCATCATCAGCATCAGCATCATCATCATCATCATCATCATCATCACCATCATCATCATCATCATCATCACCATCATCACACTCCTCATCGTCTCCACAGTGTCTCCACATTATCATACATTGTCCGATATCCTCCCACTCCCCCACGCTGTTTTGGGCCTCTTGCCGGGATAATACTTTGAAACGTATCTCGCCCTTTTTGTAAAACCCAAAGCAAACTATTTTTCAACTTAGTCAAAGACAATCAGAATCTTAAGCTACTCATCCCTTGTACGTAGGTTACCATGCGCTATTAATCTTTAACGCCATTTGCCTGAAGTGAAATTTCTGTATTTGAAGGTCTCAGGACAAGACTGTACAGCATGCGCTAGCTACTCTCCGCCTGCTTGTCAAGCAGGGCCCGCAGGCCTCTTCCATTTACAGTGTCACTGCCCGTGGAAACGGTCTTCTCATAAGATTGGTGCATGTAGTGGTGCACAGCCTAACTTTCTCGGCTAGCTGCTTCATCCAGTCTGTCCCAGAACATCAGATGTGCCCCTGAATCAATGTCCAGCTCGGGAGTGAATCAGGAAACCTGGATTGTCAAAAAGATGCTGCGCCCAAAGAAAATGAAAACCTCTCCTGTCCGCTTTGATCGTTTCAGGAACCCATGGAAACAATAAATGCAAACAAGGAAAACGCATATCCACATCAAATCAGAGAACCCACTCACAGGCTCATTGGTGTGGACTGTTTCCTTGCACAGAAAGCCTGGAAGACCATGTGTCCGCTTCTGAAGACTGTGTGTGAGCTCCTGTCTGCACCAACTTGTCCAACTTCTTGTGCTGCTGCTGCATGGACCCTGCCCTCAGGCAAAGGGTGTCTACATTGGCCGCATATAGTGGCAGCGGAAACGCTGCCATGCCGCGTGTGCGGCTGTGGCGGCTGCCGTTGCGTGGGGCTGGCACATTGTGGGCATAGCAGGTGGCCGACCTAACTTTCTCGTCTCACT